GTAGGTGAGACTGCTGCTATGATTATTATATGAGCTGTTGTAATTATTATACAGCTTCCTGGGTGGAGCCCAAGTTTTACTTAATTATGGCTTTTATCAAGTCAGATAACTGGAGAGAACATTCCAGAACAACTTGGAGCTTTGATAGCCTTTCTTTAAAACATTTATTATTATTTTAGTTTTCTTATTATTGTTTGGATTTGGTGAGAAGGGTAATTTTTTTTTTCACTTGATCATGCTGTGAACATTTTTATCTTAGTCATGATAGAAGTGTTTATTGAAATACAGCATTCTCATTTGAATCACATATTTCTCATCTGCATGCTTCCTCTTCATGAATATGGAGAGGATCTTTGTCTATATATCTGTCTTGAAATGTAGCTTTTCAGAACATGGTGCAACTATGGGCCTGTTAGGTGCTCTGCCCCCAGCATTTTCTAACGGCATTACAGTCTACCTGGCTGCCTAACAGCAACCTTAATCCATCTTGACACTTCTGTCTTCTTTATCTTCAGTTGCCAAGTCTGATGAACTCTGCTGGCTTATCCCCTAAAACTACCCTTTTATTATCACCGGCCTTTTCCAGACCCCTCATTTTCTCATGGCTGGTTTGCCTTCTAGCTGATCACCTCGGTTGTAGACTCATGTACACCTTCCTGCTGCAACCTGGGTAGATGTATTGTGGTTCCCAATGGTTCCCAACATTTTCTTGAGCAAAGACTGCCCCCTTTAAAGTTAAAAAACAACAATTCCCCAACAATCCCATGAGAGTTCATTGTTCTCTGGGCTCTCAAAAGTTAAGAGAAACTTGGCCATTTCCATTTTTTGACTTTCCCAGAATATTAAAAAAAAGTGAAGAAATGCCAAAATAGCTTATAAAACTGTTCACATTGAACAAGTTTATAATTTTAACATGAGAGAAGTATGCAATGTAATTATGCCTTTCATGAGATAACTAAAGTTTTTATTAAAATATCAATTCGTAGTGCTTTACAGATGGTACCATTTGGATAGGGGGAGCACCTTTATATTATGTGAGCACACATGTAACATTTAGGAATGCATTTGGCTACAAACAACCAAAGTCCTAAGAGTGTAATAAGGAGGTATTTGTATGTCTCTCCAAGAAATCTGGAGATAGGGGACGCCAGGGAAGCTATTCAGCTGTGCTGTCAGGGCCCAGGTTCGTTCCTCCTTTCCACTTTTCCATAAGCCAGATGTAGGCTTTTGTCATAAAGCTTGCCACCCGCAGTCACATGTTGGCCACTGTAGCTCTTACACTATGCCCTCCTTCCAGCAGGACGAAGTAAGAAAGGCACAGGGTAAAAAAGGGAAAGGCCACGTTTAAAAGCAAAAATGTGTTTCTCCTGTGGAAACTTTATTTTCTGGTTCAAAAAGAGCTACTAGCCCCAGGCATTTCCACCTACATTTCATCAGCCAAAATGATAACATGTGGTTAGCCATGGCAGTAAGGGAGGCTGGAAAATGGGGTATATTGTTTTCTAGCCTTTTTAGAAGTAGAAGGCAAATGAAAAGGGAGTTGGGAGTGGATGTTGAATGAATCCTATATGTAGCTTTTACCAGTCTTCTTTTTAAACTTGCCAGTGTATCTTTGTAGTTGTTGGTACAACTTCTGGAGGTGTTACCACATATCCACTTGGGACTCCTAATGGAGAGATAGCTTCTGATTTACTGACTGAGGAAGTAGTGAAAAAGCTATTATGTGCATGCATTTGTAGTTTATTAATCACATCTCTATATACTTAATCTTGTATATGTAAGACTTTGTTATTCTGTCTGCAGATAAAATGGATTCATGGACCCCTTCATATCGCCCTCCTGTTTCTCACAGCTTCCCTACTCTACAGCGTGCCCGTTTCCTTTCTGTCACCACAACCTTGCTTAAACATCTTTAGTTCTTTCTTGCCTTCGGAAGAAATTCTAAAATGATTAACATTGGATTCGAGGCACTTTACAACTGGCCCAACCAACCCTTGGCCTTATCTCAGGGCACTGCCCCCTCTCACTTTGCTCCAGCCTTAATAGGCGGCTTTGTTATGCCTCTGGGCCTTTGAACGTGCTCTTTGCACTGGCCGTTCTTCTCTGTCTTCCCCACCTGCTGAAGCCCTGCTTAAGGCCCATATCAGATGTCACGCTGTCTGTGTAGCTTTCCCCAGGGCCCTGAGGCAGCGTGGGTGAGCCCTGCTGTGCCTCCTAAAGCACTTTATTTGCTCCTTTTATGACGCGTTGCCCATTGATTGTGATTGCTTATGAGTTTCTAGTTCCCAACGGAAACATTCCCATCCACCTTTCTCTTTCTAGAGTCCAGAATAGAACCTGGAAGATGGAGGGAATTCATATGTGCGTATTGAATGAATAAATGAAAAAGAGGAAGGGAGATGGGCAGGGAGTTTATTGTAAGGCCCTCACTTCGATCAAATTTAAGGAAACAGCCTTCTGCTTGTTCTTGCTTCTAGAACCAGACCTTGGTTAACACAAAGCCAGACCTTTGTCAATAGGATCAGACCTTGTTAAGATATACGTGTAAAAAAAAAAATAAATAAACTGTCTTGCATTTCAGTAGTTGGAGGGGTCTGTTTCCTGCCACTAATGTGCTTTAGTTTTCTCTTGATTTACAGAAAAGCACTTTGGATCTGGGGCACCCCAAGGGGGTCAGTCATGACCACGGTGTTTAAAAGAGTTGTTTGCTAACACATGGGTGTCCTTGGTGAAGGTTCACAGATCCTAGTGAGGTTCCCCGCTTGGTAGGTGAAGTTCTTTTTTATCTTAGAGACACAGCTGTCCTTGAGGCACAGCAAACCAGGGTGTTTCTGCTATAATGGGTGGCAGGCGGCTCATCAGGGTCTCAGGGGAGGCATCTCCACATGCATGCATATCTGTTTCCTACCCACCTTCCACGTGCATGCGTGTTAGCCGGCACGACTCCTTACCCCCCATGCACACCTCCTCATGCCCCGTAAAGAGTCTCTGTGTGAATTAGAAAAAGGTACTCCCCCTGAAAGGCTTGGCGATCTGTCACTACTTTTGTGCAGAGATAAAGACTTTCTTTTCTCTGGGAAGAGCGGAACCTGTATGTACAACCCAATGTTAATTGGATAATGGTAATTGTCAGGCCCTCAGGCTCTACTTTAAAAAAAATTGCGCATAGATTTCTTTTATAATAACTATTTACTTCTTTATTTTTATCTTTATATTTATTATTTATGTGTTTGTATTTTATGAGTTTTTAATTTTAGAACAGTTCTAGATTTACAGAAAATTTGAAAAAATAATACAAAGAGTTCCCATGTCTCCCATACCCAGTGTCCCCACTTATTAATTAGTGTGGTATATTTGTCACAATCAGTGAACCAATATTGATACATTGTTATTAACTAAAGTATACAGTTATTCAAATTTCCTTAGTTTTCTTTCTTTTTTTTTTTTTTTACCTAACGTTCTTTTTAAGTTTCAAGACCCATCAGGATACCGCATTATATTTAGTCATCATGTCTTTTTAGGCTCCTGGAGGCTGTGACAGTTTCTTAGACTTTCTTTGTTCTTTTGATAACCTTGGCAGTTTTGAGGAATACTGGTCAGGTGTTTTACAGAATGTCCCTCAGTTGGGATTTGTCTGATGTTTTCCCCATGGCTGGACTGGTTGTTTTATCAGGTTTTATTATTATTTAGGTATGGTAAGACCACCAGATCAGGAGACAACTGCCACTGAAAAGATTGTTAATATCCACGGATCCCAAAAGAGGGGGTACACATCACACCAAGGAAGCAATTCTGAGAAGCACTGGAGTCAGTGATGAGGCGGCGGTGGGGACTGCGGACCAAAGCCTTTATTGTGCAGGAAGGAACGGGCAAAGCAGAGGGAGCTGGCTTAGGATCGGCTAGTTTGAATAACTTCAGTGGCTCTGGGGCCCATGGGGCTGTCCCTAATTGTCTGGTACCTGCCCTGGTGTGATTGGAGCAGGTAGACAGTGGTCTGGGCTGTGGAAGCTAGGTAAGGGAGGTGGTTGGGAGTGTGGACTCTGGTGTGGTTGGTTTGCATTTGAAAAGCATGCCCCTGGGAGGAAGACTGTCCCTGAAGGTTGAGGAAGGGAGGAAATGGGAGATGAGGGAGGCAGGAGGACAAGGCCTGGTGCTCAGGTGCATTATTGGATTGTCCAGAGCAAGTCATCTCTGGGATATGTATGTAGGGCAGATGTTAAAGCACTGAGTTTACAGAAGTTAAAACATGCTTGATACACTGGGGTTGTGTGTTTGGGGGAGGAAGACCGCAGAGGTAAAGTGCCATTTGCATCGTATCAAAGGTACATAGTATCCATGCAACTTATCACTGTTGATATCGACGTTGGTTACCTGGCTGATCGGGCCCTATTTTGTGACATCATATCTATTTCATGTCTGCCTCTGACATTCATCTTACATGTTTGAAGTGTTTGTAGGGCAGGGTATCAGGAAACACGCGTGTAATTCTCCTTGGGTCTCCATCTTCCAGATGAATGAACCTGCCTATAGTGAGTTCTACTTGGAGTTGGGGCCCTCTTTGGGGTGGGTGACTCCACAGAATGGAGTCTCGAAAACTTGGGCCTTAGGCAGCCTGAGTTCATAGGGGAGACTTGTGTCTGAACATCTTTACTGTTCTCTAAAAGGTAGTCCTTCCAACTGTTGAATAAATATATTAGTAAAAATGTACAGCTCTATCAGAAGTGGGGGTTGATTACCCCTGAATGAGACAGGGTATATAGTATCCATAATGCTTAACTACTGTAAGTCAGAATATTCAGAGAGTGAGCCTGTTGCTGTATGTAAATTGAAAAACCACTGGCTACTCAATAAGTTGCCTGACCAATATCCTCTGATGTCGGTGGAGACCATGGAGTATATGAATTTCTTTGTTATGCTTTTGAAAATGCCAAGTTGGGCGAGGCAGGACATAGAGTCGGCTGGTAACTCACCTGCATACATTTTGTTCCCTCACGTCTCAGGGTCTAAGTCGCAGAACTGTGTGTGGAACTCGCTCATTGATGGACTCACAGAGAATGTCAAGGAGAAGCCACGGCCAACCATTGTCCATGACCCCCGACCACCGGAGGAAATCCTAGCCGATGAGCTGCCTCAGCTCGACAGCCCCGAAGCCTTGGTGAAGACATCTTTCAGGTTTGGTGGATCGCAACTCAGTTCGTTTTTTTTTTTTTATTTGCTTGTGTGGAGTCATTTCAATCCGGTTGGATGAATCATCAGCGTGGCCAGCAAATTACCTCATTTCTTTGCACGGAGTAAATTAGAATTGATGAAGGAGTGTTGGAATTAATGCTAGCTGGACTTCTGGCTGGATTTCCTGAATGTAGGGAAGATCACTTAGTAGTTAAATTGCTGTTGGTGTTTAATTGGTATTGGCATTTAAACGCTGAGGCAAAGGATTTACTGATGTTGGCAGTTTGAATTGGATTAATGAGTCTTTCGCTTCAAAGGAGGATGACGCACGGAGATAAGTGCACAGAGGAAAAGCGCATGCTGGGAATTAATTCAGCCCTGTGCCTTTAGAGTTTCTTTCGGGAGAAGGTTTCTAGTTATAAGAGACTTGAGAGCTGCTGCCTCCTAAAAGGAAGCGAGGACCTTCTTGTATGGTGTCCCAGGTGGTGTGTGCTCTGTTCTCGCTCATTGTTTAGTCACGCGTCTTCCCGCAGAGGCCCCTTCTTTTGTCTTTCTGTATTGTGCTCCTCTTTCATCCTGACTCTGTCCCTTACCTTCTCACCTGTGTTGAATAAAAATCAGTCTGGGTATGGACCAGGTGTATCAAAGTGATTTTTTTTTTGAATATGTCTCTCACACTCACTTTTGAAATACACAGTAGTACTGGCATCAGAAGTTAAGATTTAATGATTTTGTTAGCCTGCCTTCCTTCCCTCCTCCTTTCTCCCTGTTACCCTAATTTTACCTCTTTTCTTTCCATTATATAATGCTTTCGTACTTTTTACAGGGCTAATAGAACATACAAACCTTGCTTTTCTTTCCCCATAAACAATTCAGACAACTCGTGGAGTCCATGAAATATGTTTGAAAAATGTGCTCTCTTTTGCATCCAGGTGATGTGTGTAACCACTCAGTAAAAGCCATCTCACTGTGTGAAGGTTCTTTGTGTAGACTGAATTATAGATGAGTTCTGAAAAGGAGTGATGAATAGGGGTTTGGATTTCTTTATGTAATGTGACTGATGCCGTGGTGGAGCAAGAATTGCAAGGCAAATATGCTTTTGTTATTCCTGGTATGGGTTTGGTTACTATACTGTGAGACTAAAAAAACCCAACAAAACCCATTCGAATAGCGAGAAACACAGTCTGCGAACCTGCGATTCTCTGCAAGTGACTGTGGTGGATGAGGGGAGGGTGAATGGTTTTCTTGGTCTGTGTGTTCTCATCATGGAGCGTCTGTGGTGGAGTCAACCTCTTTATGAACAGCCTTTTTGTAGCTACCCTTCCGTCCCAGGTCAGGCTCATTGTCTTCTCCAGTGAACTGCTAAAGGGTCACTCTGATGAAAAGAATATCTCGTCCGCTAGCTCAACTCCATTACCATCATCCCTTCTCTTTGCATTCCCTCAGTGCTTTTTAATAGAGGAATGTATTGATGGCCATGAACTTCATTTGATCTGCTAGTTGTATTATGTGTCAATGCCTTGGTTTCAGAAATAGATTAAATCATACGTGTGTTCAGGTCAGGATTTATATCTGGTTCCTTGTAACATTTGGTGTGGTAGGAACAACACAGCATGTGTAAATTGCCAACCTCTCAGCAACTGAAGCTAGAAATTCGTTGGCATCGGTTATTCATTTATTAACCTCCTTAATACAACTGCGTGCTATTTGGGAACCATCCTTGCTTGCAAAGAAGATAGTCGATTTCAGTTGTTAGAAGGTGAATATTCTCTAATGCAGTCCCTAATCGTGGAAGTCACATCAATTGTGAGATTTGTTGTATGTAAATTATTATAAGCAAAGTACTAAAATGTGGGAATAGTTTCCTAATCAAGAAATAAATTAGGGCAGAATCAAGGTTACCCTTGTAATAATGCCACTTGTTTTCTATATGTCTTTGGATTGCAAAGAAAGGAATGAGTTGTAGCTGGATTTTAAATAATGCGAATAGGAATGTATCACTCGTGTTCCCCCCATTTCACACGTGAAGTGAAGAAACCTGAGAATTACTGATCCCAATGTTAGTGACTCTGGGAAACCCAGGAAGAATAGTGTGTTATACCCCTATGTTTTTAAACCTCAGGGGTGCATCAGTGATCAGTGCTTTCAGGCCCTAAGATAGGTGGAGGTGTTGGGGTTTTTTCTTTTTTCGACTCTGAAATTCAGAGCCTCTTAGCTACCATGGTGATGGTGGTGTATGTGTGTATATTTTTACACACACACACACACACACACAGAATTTAGGTAACCCTTTGAACTCTAAAATATTTTGCTGTGTTAATTTGAGGAGGTCACATATCTGACCTGGCCTAAGTTTTTTCGTCTTGGATATAGGGATACAGATAACATACTTTCCAGGGTTGTTGGGGAGACTTAAAGGAGATAATATATGTGAAAGAGACAAGGTCAATGTGTGGTACCCAGGATGTGCTCCGTCAGTACTAATTCCGTATTCCTGCCCATCACTCCCTGGAGACCTTGCCTGCCTTTGCAGATATGTACACACAGAGGATCAGACTTGGGTTTTGTGGCTCTAGGTGCAGACACTATGGGCTCTGAAAGCTCTCTAAGCCTTTGGCGTGAAAAGTCTGTGTTCAAAACCCAAGTCTTTTGAAAAGAAGCAAGTGGGGACTATAAGAAAATAAAGAGGCTTCAGTGTCTGGAAAGTAGTCACTCCTGGGACCTGCCCCTCAGAAGCCTGTTCTCCTGGTCCGTCGTGACCTGTCCCTTTGAACCTGCTGTTTCCCTCAGGTTTTTCTTAAAAGAGATGAAAGTAAACTGAACCTGGAACTTAAGGAGGACAGTCAGTCCAGTCCCGCCAGTGTGATCTTGATAGGAATCTCAGGACCTGCCACTAGAGGACCCAAGAGAACAGGAAAGAGCTGGCTGCTCAGAGCCTTTTCTCTCCTCAGCCTCCCCTGTGTGTTTGCAAAGCGAGACCCAGCCCAGATTGCACTGACTGTCAAGGACACCAGTGTTTATCAAGCATCTGCTATGTACAGGAACTGTCCATTTATTTGCTCATGTAATCCCCCCCAAAGCCTGGCAAGGTGAGTGATGTTATCCCACTTGTACAGGTCGGGAAAATGACTTCAAGCCACCCAGCACGTGGCAGAGCTGGAAATTTCAACCCAGTCCACCTGGGTCCAAAGCAATGACCTCTCCACCATGTTTACTACCACCACATCACCTTGGCTTTCATGCTTCTTGGTTTGTTGTTGGTGAAATAAGATTGCGCCATTGGTTCTAATAATTTACGTGTGCAATATGGATATACGTATAAAATTTGATGCTTCTCCTATGAGACTGACCCTGTTTTGTTACAGTAAATCTTTTTCCAGCCTAAACTTACATTTTAAATACACCCACCCTTTTTGGATAGGAACCCCTTAAGGCAGTGCTTCTCAAACTTTATATCCAGCAAATTCCTTGGGGGATCCCATGAAACACGAATCCAGGTTCAGTGGGTCTGGATTGCAGCCTGTGAGTCTGCATTTCTAACAAGCTCCCACGTGATGTGATGATCTGAGGGCTCACCCTCTGGGCTGTGGAATACCACAGGTATGAGTTTGCAAACACTTCTCTAAACTATGTGATTTGAGCCATGGTTTTGAGTCTTCGTTTCTTCGTTTTCCAAATGGAGACAGCGAAGTAACAGCACAGGCCTTGGGGACTATTGATAGGATTGAGGGCTAATGGATGTGACAGCCCTTCATGTCTTCTCGCTCTGTTTTCAAAACCCTGTGAGGAGTGGACTGTTCCTCCATGCCTGGACCCCTTCTTCTGTGACTGAGTTGTGTAATGAACCCCAGGCTGCAAATATCAGCCTTATGGGTGCTTTGTGAACAAGGCTGGCTACTGGCCTGACCTTCTTGGATGGTACTGGGAATTCTGAAGCCATCCAGTGCCTCGGCCATCTTGGCTACTTCCCTTGAATTGTATGACTCCCAATCTAGGTTGAGTTGGCAGGTTTGACCATTTTGCATTTGGAAGAAGAGCACACTCACTCCCCAGAGAATCACTGGGGGGCTTGATGAGCTTCCCTTCCCACATAGAATGGACTTATTTGGGCTTTGGCAAAAGCGTTCCTGATTCTATACATAGCTCACTAAGAATATGTTGCAGAGAGCAGAACTGCATTGAGCCAACACCCTTGGCTACGGATGAGATTAAGGGCCTTGTCAGATCCCATTTAATGGATTGTGTTTTCCATGAAGAATTAAATTGTTGAACTCATCCCCATTTTGGCTTTTGGCAGTCATTTTTCCACTGGGGCTGCAGCCAAGAAGCCAGTTTCTGACTTGATTACTTTCAGGAAATGTGCAATCTGGCTGATGATATGGCGTGGCATGGGGGGTATCCCCTGCAGCTTCGGACCCCACCCCAGGATGAGTCATAGGTTAAAATTCCCAATTAGCTCATGGGAAGTCTGCTCACATATCTTCCTCTATCGCCGTATGTTAGGCACCCACTGGGAACTTTGGGGACACCTACTTCCTTGACTTTGTGCTGCCTTCCTGAAGCTGACATTTTCCCCCGCTAGCCTTCGCTAGTCCAAATCACTAGAGTCTTCCTCAAATGAGAGAATAAATTGTGAGGGTATTTTAATTTTTTTTAACTCAGAGGAGTTTCTATTGCGATGTTGGCCTTCTCAGAAGGAAAATATTTCTCAGAAAGGAAAAAATTAATATCTCCTTGTAAGTTTTAAAGAACAGGTTTTCCAGTGCTGGAAATTGACAAAGCATATATCATGCAGGTACCATTACTCATGCATTCCTGGGCCTTTCATAGTGTTTTGGGAAAGAGGTAGTTTGTCTCCGTCATGGCCATGTGAATGCAGCGCTCACATCTTCGACCACAGGAAACGTGCTTGACCCATGGCCCCAACCCCTTGCAAGGAAATTTGTCCCTGTGATGGCTGAGGGTGTGTTTCTCTGAGCCAATGACCGAGAGTGTCAGGGCGG